AATTAAGGCACAGTTTCTTATATACATTTAAGTTAATGCTATAAAACGAATAAATATTCTTCAGTTTATATCTTCAACACCTATTCTTTTTGAATATTTCTATTGAAAAAAAAATGCGAAATTTGTGTATGATAAGGTCTACTAAATTTGTATCAAAATCTATATCTACATATTAAATATGCTATACATAAGACGCCAGCGAAGAAATGCTACACGCTAAATACAATATTTAATTACATAGTTTAGAATGCTAAAACTTAAAATATGCGCGCAGAAGCAAATTAATTGGTTATCTTTTTATGCATGCATCATTAAAAAAGCATGAAACTCAAGTTATACGTATATACTTTACACAAAATCAACAATGTATTAACCTATATTTATGAATAAATTATGCTCATAATATTTTTAATATTACAAATTTATATTAATAAATAAACAAAATTTAATTATATTTAATCTGTTATTAATTTATTTTGATAGAAAAACAAAATGGCTAGCATATTTCATTTTCAAGAAATGTACGTTCATAGCACTCTCAAACCTGTGGTTAGCAATTTTTTTTTGGTTTAACATCCTCCTGTCAAAAAGTAAAACATTCGATTACTGTTCTTCAAAATTTTATTAAGAAATGCAGCATCTACTGTGTGATAAGTGTTTATAATGGAAAATGTTTCATTAGGAAAACAGAGTGCAAACGTAGACACGGACACAAACAATGCGACTTAAGAAAGTCGGAGCCATTTTATAGAATAGTCGTCAAAAAAAATGTACAAATAGCGGATTTTCGTAGCCGGGTGTATTTGATTTTACTTACAAAATAGAGGGGAAATTTTAAGTACATTATAGACATATATCATATACTTAATCAAACAGTGCAATACAAGTCCGAATTCTACTACATTTGATGAATGTTTTACGCAGTCTAAATTGTTATTTGTTGACCCAAGAGACGTCGTCATGTATTTAACATAAAATTTATTCGGTATTCACTGGACGTTACCGCTCTCATAAGCTTGGGATTAGCAATGAAGATATTTTATGGATAAATTCGCGTTCTACTTATTTTAGAGTAGTTATTGTTGAATGAGATTAAGGCGATACTAAACTAAAAATGACGACTTCTTTTATAAGATCCCATTCGCATTTATAAAGCGGGAATGAACGGATTTCAGAATTTGTTTTTTTTTTTTTTAAGAAAATTTAAAAAAATTTATTTGACACGTTTTATTTTTAAAATTCTTAAAATACTTATTGCAAAACCGAAAAAATCTAAGGTTATTTAACTTTCTCCCTTTTTGCAATGAAAAATTGCAATTTTCGTCTTTTACAGTTAAGTGTATAAAAATGCAAAATATTTATTATTAATATGCAAGAGCAACTAAATAACAAGCCAATCACAATAAACCACATTAATTTAACATCACTTTTTTTTAATAATTTTATATTTCTTTTAAAAATTATCTACTAAGCGAACCTTTTCTTTTAATATTTTTTTTTTATTTTTTTGCTTTTCAGAAGTTTCTACAAAGCAGTTATAATAATAACGAGCTGCTAAAAGAAACAAAACTGTTTTTTTTTGTTCTTTCTTTTTCTTCTTCATCTTAATTTACTTTTCCACGTTTTTGAAGCGTTTTACAATTACCATCACTATCATTACCTTCTGTATGTACTACAACACAGAAGTACACCTATAATGTTGAAAATTAAAAGAAAAACGAGAAAAAATATAGTTGACCTTGTCAACTCTGTGATACCCGTACGAATTTGTTATCCTATGTGTGAATAAATATGCCATAACTGACTATGGGACAGACTATGACTTTAAGTTGCCGTATTACCATATTAATTTATGCAAAATTTCAGTACTGTTTTCTTCAAAATACTGTGTGTGCCAAACTACTATTGAAGTTGTATGACAGCTATCAGAAAGAGCCAAGGAATTTTAACGAATTTTATTAAGCACATCAGCCCTACTGATATATTCACTTGTGTGAAATTTCCATTCCACAGCTTTTTTCAGTTTCTGAGATATACCCAAATAAATTTTGAAGTTGTATGGCAACTACCTGAACCGGTACCCAACTAAAAGTTAAATCAACCCAGAATTCGACACTGATCAAAAACATACACTTGAGTCTATATCTAAGACTATTATTTCTTAGCGTTACACACGGTAAGACAAATTTAGTATACCATAAAAAGTAGACGAACAAGAAAATATAACCAATTCAGAGAATTTTTTCTTTATGTGCAATTTAGAGCGGAAAAATCACTGAAATAATATTTTTCAGATATTTTATGTCTACAACTACATTTTTATATGTAAATGTGTTTGTATTAAAATGCATAAGTTTAACATAAATTTATCATAAAAATATTACAGTTTATGCACTTACTTACACATTAATTATTTTTATTATGATCTTTATTATGTTGAAAATAAAACCAATTTTATCAAAATGCAAAGCACTTTACCAGAAAGTCTAACGCAAAATTTCTATGGTTTACGCAGAATTTCTACTCTTAATACTCGAAGCAAAAATTGCAATTTAAAATTTCTTATTGAACTTTTGCATAAATTAATATGGTAATACTGAAAAAAACTAACATTTTTGATTCTATTCAATAGTCAAATTAAGTTAAAATTAATGTCAAACATTCCTTTGGAAAGTAATTGAAGAAACTTGAAAGATTATTTTGGAGCCAAAAATCACATTAAAAAAATCGAATTTTTTAATTCATACCACAAATTTACATTTTAAAATGAACAATTTATTAAGGGTTTATGTGATTTTAAAAAACTTATTTATTCTGAAATTTTATTTTTTGAAATTTAAAATTTTATCAGGTAAGTACTTATTCACTCAAATTATATGAAATTTAGGTTAAGTACACTTAAATACTTTGAATATTTACATAAATGAAAAAACTACTTTGTAAGGATATTGAAAATATTCATCTGAAAATTAGAGAACCTAGAAAACGCAAATTAAATGTCATATATACGAAATTACAGTTTATTATTTTTAAACTATAATTATTTTATATAAATTCATAAATAGGGCGAATCCTTATACTAAAACACGCTTCAAAACATGCAAATACAAAATAACACACGCAAATGTGGAATTGAACAAAAGACTCAACTGCACTTTCATAAAATAATTTAAAATTAATAATCGTATTGCATACAACAAGAAAGGTATATTGCAGTAGCACCAAATTTTACATTTTGAGTTTTCAATGTAAATTAACCTCTCCGTTGTAAAAAAGCGTAAATAAAATATTTTTAGAAAAATTTTAGTGTGGCGTCTTAGTCGACCGGTTTTTCGGCCTTGGTCAATGTATTGGGCTTTGCACACATATGTCCTAATATCGGTTAAAAAATTACTTGCTCCCTTAAAATTCAAAATAATTATAGTTTAAGAACTTTTTAATAAGTAAACCTTTGATTAATGTTAACAAATTTATTGCAACATCTAAGTACTTATTAGAATAAATTTCCCGGTTCAGCAATTTTGAATCAGAGTTGATGTCAATTTTTGAATGAGTTGACTTTTTTCGGAACCAGATTTCCTCATTAGCCAAATTTTTGTTACACACACAACAAAATTTTATGCTAACTTTGTAAGTATGTAAAAAAAATAAAAAAATTTTTTATATATAGTTAGACTTATTTTATGTCACTGGTAATTTTTTTGATTTCGCGGTCAATTACTCAAAAAATTAAGTGAAACCAACTCTTCGGTGCGCCGAAAAATCAACATCTGCGCTCACTTCTGATTGGCTATTGAGCTATTAAAAACGACCAACACACAAAATCCGCGAAAAGGGATGGTCAATCATATACAGAAAAACAAACAATACGGTCGGTAGATTGCTAATCACTTAAGGTTTCTTTTATTTAATCTAAGCTTCATCACATTGCATTATACAGAATCGTCTTAAACTCAATATGAATTTTATTTTGTAGAAGCATAAAATCGAAAAATTTCAAGCTAATATAAAAGATAATGAAAAATTTAAATAAAACAAATTTTGCAATGAAAAGTAAATTACGTTTGACATTGAACTGTGAACATAAAATGCGCATCACGTTTAAATCGCACAATGAAATAATAACGCAAAAAAAAAGAATACAAAAGAAGAAAATTGTAAAATTAAAAAAAAATTTAATTCTTCTCATATGAAAACACAATTTTCCGCCTTTCAACTACATTTTAAATATACAATAAAGAAAACATAATTAAAACAATTTATAAGTTTCATTTCTTATTTATTCACGGTCACAATGAAATCCGATCAATCAGGTGAAACTTTATGATTATTAGCTTTAGTTGATTGAACATTGAAACATGAACTGCAAATTGTCATACTTTTTTTTTTCAAATAAACTTTAATTCTTCATCACTAATTTACTAAATTTGTAAGTGTTTGTTACAATATTCAAGAGTTTTGACTTAAAAATTATAGAATTAGCCCGAAATTAAACAGAACCACTCGCTTAAAATTAATGACTTTCAGCTCACAACTGCAATTGAATTTTTGATTATTTTTCAAGTTATTCTTTTCCTTACATTGTAAATGCATTGAAAAATTACAATTTAACAATGAGAATTAATTATAATTTAATCTATATACACTTCTAAAATGCTATTTATCATCAATCATTCACACAATTAATTCATTCACAATCTTATAGAAATTGGATATGATGAATTACTTTAAGAAAATCTTTGACATTTTGTTATATTTGTCTATAACTGTTTTAAAATTGTACAGCAAATAATAATTTTTAAAATTTAAATCGATGTAGACACCATTTTAATTGAATTTAAATTTTTACTTTCTTTAAGCCATTGTTATTATAGTAAATAGAGTTATCACAACAGCTACCACAAAATAGCTTTAATTTTCTATTTTCTCTATTTAAACTATACTTATAAAAAATAAAAAAGAAATTTTAGTTAAATTTTTCAATTATTTTCATTATTTACCTCGTTTAAGACAAAAACACGTACACAATTTTTGTGCTACAATTTCGTATCCAAATCAAATGAAAATGTCATGCGTGAATATCTGAAATAGAGAGGAAAAAAAAAACAAATTATAAACATAAGGAAAATGTGGAATGAATTTCAAGTGAAATGAATAATTTTATTATTTTTTTATATTATGCACAGTTTAAAAATAAATTATTGTATTGTATATAGAAAATAAATATAATTTAGGTAAGTACTAAAAAAAATACAAGCTGTTCCCACAATGAATGCACAAATCCTAGAATTTATTTAAGAATAAATTCGTCACATATCAATTATTGTCTAGTAGCACATTTCTTTTGAACAATGAAAAATAATTTTGTTTTTAAAAAAATATGTATGATTGTATGTGCTACTTAATATTGTTCTAATTATACTATAATACTCTCAGTTATTGCATACTTTTAGGGGAAGAGTGTACAGTTTCTAAGAAATAAGTTGCAGAAAATTAATGAGATTATCACCAAAATGATAAAAATTATAGAGAGACACGATTTTCAAACGCAGTCTACAGGAGATTCTATCAATATCCAACTGGACAATGTTTGTACATCAACCAAAAAATATTGTTGGTTCAAATGAAAAACTTATTAAGTATACAATTTTACTGATGATCACGGATGGTGGTAGCAAAACGACACGTTTATGTTAATTGGGGTTCAACTAACCTGCTGCATCGATTACGTCAAAATAATCAACCAACACTTTTACAACATTTGGTTAGCAAAAACTACATTCAAAAGAGATATAGGTTAATCATTTAGCATTTATTATAGTTTAAAACCTTAAAATTCAGTAAATCTCGATTTTCTCGATAACACGAAAATTCTCTTAATGCGTGTTTTACCTTTAAACTGGCAAATTCATAAACACATACAAGATCAACTTAAACTTGACATGTTGATCTCTAGTACAGTAATCCAATTTATTTTGTTTTGTCTAACTTATTTCTTCTTTGTATTTTCTTTGTCTTTGCTTTGAACTAACATAATACCAGATTCTAATTCAAAAGTGCGCAAAATTTTCGGAAAAAACTTTAGCAATTTCATATTTTGATCGAAATTTTAGACGATAAGCCAATGCATTTAAATTCCCATTGAAAATTTTCATGATTCAATAGCAAAATAATAGAAATATCAAAAAAAGTTGGACTATAACAATACTCCCATGATTTATGAACAATAAAATGCCTTTTTGTAACGTTTCCAGAACTAATTAAAAATAAGAACATTTTTTTTTTTTGCTTTGTTAATAAATAACCTGTTTAATAAGTGTATATAACACTTAAAATTATGCTTTATTAACGCTCACTTATCATATACATATATATATAATATTTTTACTTCACTTTTGTTTATTACTTTTATATTACACTTATATTACAGAGGCACGTTTCGCTATTCTCCATTATTTTCTTAGTTTAATATGCACCAGACGTATAATACATTCATAATCTACAGACGTATGTAATGCATTCTTTGTCTAAACTGTGACTGTTATACTTATAATTATATATTCTATTCTTTTATTATTATTGCTCTTAATTAAATTTAAAGCAATAAATTACGAATTATAATGAATTACTTATTTAAGTCATTAAAATATTATTAAAAGCAGTGATTAATCTTTAAATAAAATAACAAAAATAAGAACGTTGTCTCTATAAGTATTGGAAACATTTATTTAAAATTTTATAATTTTATTCAAATGAGTGCATTTAACTGTGTAAGTAAGACGTCAAATACAATGAAAGTAAATAATTTCAATTTAAAATATAAGCTTTATTTGAATGACATCTTGCAATATAGTGAATTTTATTGTATTTGTTTTCAGGTTTAACAAAATTAAATTTACGCATTCGATGTAAGTAAACAAATAACTGTAAAAATTTTGTATAAAAATAAATAAGGAAAATTGTTTTATAAGTGCAACTGCAAAACAGATGGAGAACATAGCCAAAGGGCCGATTTAAAAAAATTTTCTTTTAAAATTGGACTCGAACCAGTGACGCTTTAATAACTGAACTAAACACAGCCCAGGTCTCGAATAAAGGATTCAGAAAAATAAATGTGTTAAGTATTTATAAGTAGTTCTAATTCACAGTATGTAACTAATTTTATGTAACTGATATTTGATAGATTTTAGTAAGTTTAAGAAGAAATTTATCATTAATTATTATTAATTAAGAGGCCTTAATGTCGCCAGAAATCTTACATTTATATGTGAACCAAACTTTGGTGTAACAATGTGCGATAGAAAGAGAAAGATGTTTCTTAATGTGCCTGAGATATAAAATAAATAAAAAAAAAATACCACTTCCTTTCTTCTGTGATTGTAGTAACCCGTAACCGGTAAGCTAGTTTTAAATATTGTAGCATCTTGGTTTTAAAGTAAAGTTGACTTAAGCAGTTGTGTTTCATTATCACTGTTAAGAACTTGTTTTTTTACAATTATTCTTAAGATCAAAGATTAAGTATACAAGTAGATATTGTTTTTGTTTTAAACCGCAATTTATTTTTTTTATTGCCAAAGTAATTGCTATGAACACATAAAACTTGAAGATTTATTAGAGCTTAGTTTTTCTAGTTTGGAATGTTTTTTTTAAACTATTTATAAACGATGAATAATTTGCACTTCCAATTTTAGTATAAATTTTATTTGACATTGAATGAGATGAGCTTTATTTTTTGTTTATCATGTACTTATAGAAAATATTCATGACCAGAATTTCTTTTATTTGTCAGACATTTTTGTCTATCGCAGATTTTGAGCTTAATACATTGTCATTTCCAAACAAAACTACTAACTAATTGTTTGTTACATAAAATTCATACACATATATAATAATATAGTGAGTATAACAATATAACAGTATAAATACATATATATACATATATATATGTAAGCATTACGTACATGTTATTATATTTTCAGGCAGTCAATGACAACAAGGTGTTAGTTTATTAACATTTTTATTTATCTCATTAAGTTCTATTTAAGTAAATATAATTAGATATGAAAGAAACAGATGGCTACATGCTTTTTATAAGCCAAGGTACATTCAGTGTCAGTATAAATAATTAAAATTAATTAGGTTTTGTTTTTTACTTTCTTACCCTTTGCCAATACCTAATATATGTATGTATGTACTGTAGGTACCTAGTTAGATAAATGCGAAAATTGCAATTTCCCAAAAGAATAATACGATATTAAAACAAAAAACGTTGTATTTACAGAACACTCACCAATACCAATAAAACTTTAATTTATTTCTCTATTCTATTTTAACATTTCTGCTTAATGTTATACAGAAAGAAAATAGTCGGAACGTAGAAGAAAAAAAAATATATATTTGAATCGATAATTTTTTTTTTATATTTTTAATTAGTTGTAAACTTTAAACGTGGCAGTTTAATCACAATAAAATAAAATTATCATAGGAATTAAAATATTAACACACAAATTAAAGCAGTCTACAAACTTCGGATATGATTCTGTTGAATTTTTAATAAATTTAAACCTTTTTCCTCTCAGACATAATTTGATTGTTACGCACAAAGGATCTAAATTATTAAAGCTGCATGATCTGATTAAATTTTTCTTCTTAAGTTATTGGTGATTTCATAATAAAATATGGAAAATTTTAATTAAGTAGAATAATTTAACAAATTTTTTACTATCCACATACCCTCTCCAATTTTCTTTGTTTTTATGCCATTCGTCTGATTTCTTCCCATGTTTCACCAGCCCGGTTACATTAAGCTTTTTTTTGCTCTCACTTTCCCCTTGAATTGAGGGTTTCATTAAAGCGTCTGCTACTGATATTTTTGGTCACCTCAGAATGTAACCTAACCAATTTCCATTTCCTCTTTCTTATGTCTCTTGTTCTGTTGTTTCACTGTAAGAGCACAATAGCACAGATTTGACATATGTGTCGAATATTGTTATTTTTATTGCACGCTTCTACTTTGTTAACTTTAATACTGGTCATAAGCGTTCAAACAAACTTCTGACTCTAGCTATTCTTTGTTGTAAGTCTTGTACCGTCATCAACTCATAAATAATATTCATTGCTAATAAAGATAATAAAAAAAATATTTTTAAGTAGTACCGTCCAAGTGAACGCCAAACGATCCTTTAGCGCAGCTTTCTATAATTACACTCAATATATCGAATACAACACGCCATTTGAACGTAATTACTGCTCTCTTTTAACAAGTATGATAATTTTTGTCGAATGAATCTTCATTAAATATCAATACTACATAATACTAATCGCCTTGGTTGTCTTTGCGGCAAGTTTTCGAACACACACTGTTCTTATTAAATTGTTCTTAGTATACTGGTGAGAGTACTTCAATATATGCCTAACATATTGTGAGAGATATAAAGATGTTTTCCAATATTTAAGAAAATTAAATGATAAAACAAATAAAAAAAAAATTGAATAAATACTTGAGCAGCATTCCAAAAACAAATCAATGGACTGGGCTGTGTACTCAAAATTTATTTTAAGATTTTCACTATACTTAATTCTTATTCTTTTATTCTTATATATTTATGCGTTTATAGTACATTACAAGAAGCTAACCTAAATTGATTTTGAAAATTACAAACACTTGCACTTCACATTTATATAAGTACGAGTATATACATAAATTTGGCATTAAGTTTTTTTGGAACAACTTGTATAACCATTAAAACTTTTTCTTGATTTTAATAAAAACTCAATAAACCAAGGTACATGTAGAAATTGAAATTAAGAGCAAAATTCAATGATATTGAATGAAAATAATGCAATGTAACAAAAAAAAATTTCTTAAAAATGCACTTATTAAATACGTACATACTACACCCACATAACACAACAACACATATACACATTTTTATACATATACATATTTGCCTGCATTTACATTTTATTTGCAAGTATCTTGTTAATGTGCAACTGTTTCTGAAACACTCTAAACACCAAATAAAAACAATAAGAAAGAGAAAAGAGAAGCAAAAATTAAAATCACGAATCCAGAGTATAAA